AAGGATTGCCTCGACGAATTCCGGCAAACGCCTGAACCGTCTGGTGAGAATTGTGCGACTAGCCAAGAACGACGCGCGTCCGAACCACGGGTGTCTCGAGAGGCGTATGCGTCGAAAGCACAGTAGTTCGCCGCCAGAGTCCTAGAAAGGCAGCTGACCGAATCCCGAGAGCCAAACCCCTGCTGCACCTAGTCCGGAAGCGTTCGTCGTGAACCCAGCGGCTCTGAATCATCGAAACCATTCCTCCGTGGTTCGAAGTGATAGAGTACCATCCCTAAAACACCATTAATCTCACGGAATCTATCTCTAGCGAATTTACCTTTTACGAAGAAACAGCGCGAATTTCGGCGTTACCGAACTCCATGTATAACTTTCCAACGCAATAACCAAACTTGTTATGAATCGCTCTGTACAAAGCCTCCAAATTCAAAAACCAAAAAAGCTGAAGAGCGATACTTGAGAAATTGACATTAAGGGTTGTCAATCCAGAACTCAAAGAGACGGAAGTGGGAAAGGACGGCCGGTGGGACTTCATCTGTGGTACTAGCTGCTCAATACAATCTGAGCCCGAAGTAACTTTGTAAATGAAACTGGATATTCTGAAGTAGAACATGTCCCAATAGGACAATCAAAGAACAGCGACAACTTAACCAGCCGCCCTCGAACATTGTAAAATTTGTTAAACACTCCTGAAAAAAACTTGATCCTTCAGGATTAAAGTCCTTATTCATCGACAAAGGATGCTCGGAAAGCTTCTGGTCATACATCCATAGAGTGAACAAAGCTCACTACAAAGCGTAAAGGCGTTAAATTTCTCCCCACAAATAAGGCAAGTAGAGAGTGAGTAGGGAGTGAGAAAAAATGTTAAAGAGAGACGGCGATACCGGATAGCCCGCTTGCATTGTGCAAAAAGATAGAACGCGGTAGCGCCTGACTGTAGACAGGCATCACGCGGCTAAGTCCAGGCGCTTTGTTCCAACTCTGGTTGAGTTTGCGGATTGCTCGTCGAGTCCGACAGGGTTGAAACGTCTGAAAAGGACTGCTTTGATCGAAATTAACTGTGTCGTTTACTGGATCTGTGCTTTGTATCAAATCCTGTTACACCACGGATACATTGTTTTCCCACAGCAAAACTTCTGATGCTAAATAATTTTATACTTGGCTTTGATTGATCTGTTGGCTACCTAAGCCATATTGTGTAAATCCCTTAAGGGGGTATATAGCTTTTTCATTTTCAAAAAATCGAACATTTTTTTTTTGCTATATCTTTAAGAACAACTTTTCGAGAACATTTCCCCAAATTTTCATAAAGATTTGAGCAGTAGAAAAAAAGTTGAACGATCGTTTTTTCATGTAAAAATTTGTATTTCGCCGAAATAGATAGTTTTGTAAGAATTTTAGCGTCCAAAAACGTCATTTTTTGCATAAAACGTTCCCGTATGCACAAAAAAAAATTTAAAAACGTTCGATCAAGTACAGGATACTACTTTAAACTAATGAAATATTTTTATTTTTTCGGTATCAGTTGACCCATTTGTCCTGGGGAATTATCACCGCAAAGCTATTAAAAAGAAGGCGTTTAAAGGAACACCCGCACCTTAAAAACTATTTAATATTTTTTCAAAATTTTTTGCATAAACATTGTCAACAATATAAACTTTCCGAAAACATTCATTTAATAAACACAATAGTTACATATATAAAAAAATCCAAACATTCATTTTTGTTTCGACAAAAAAAAGGTATACATATACCCCCTTAATACTTTTTACCCTGCAACCAACACATTTTACTTCTGTTAATCTGTAATATAGTATATATAGAAAATGTAAGGCGAAAAACGTTCTGGTCAACAAAATTGTTGCGCTGATCGGGTATCAATGTGGAATTCCAATGTTGTCTCACGGCATAAATTCGAATAAGCTCAATTCCTGAAGGAAAATCAAAAATGTATTATTTGAAACGCACCTCACAAGCAAATACAACTTTCAAATAAGAGGTTATACATATTAGTGCACAGATCATCCGGATCGCAACCCCACGGCGGAACCGGAGTCTTAATAAGAACGCTATAGTTTTGCAAACAAACTTCTTGGAGGCCACATCTATAAAAATATAGTTAAGGAACGGAAACCATTTAATTGCTGCCGTCTACTGCTTGCATCGCTTGACAATTTCGGAAGGACAGTTCATGGATTTCTACATTTCACTTGGGGATCGTTTCATAGCCGTAGGAGACTACAATGCCAAACAGACGCACTTGGGTTCACGTCTTGTGACTCCCAAAGGAAGGCAATTGTACAATGCAATTATAACTTTAAGAAACAAATTCGACTATGAAAGCTCCTAGATCTTAATTATTTTGAAGTGACAAAAAACAAATCACGCAGCCTAATAAGTTCCAAAGCGCTTTCTAAACTGTTTTAAGACCACTCATGTGTGCTAATAACACTTCTTCAAAAAACTTTCGAAAAACTTTCGCCAATCAGTACAAAAAATTCCCTTGGGAGGGCTTACCCAAATTTAAGCGCTCCGATCGAAACGATTACACCGATAAGAAACTCTTCAGGGTGCTGGACCCGAAGTGACGGACGCAGAGCTAAAACACCGGTGTTTTCTAGCCAAATCCCGCCACAAATTTATTTGTCCTACCAATTTGTTTGGCTTCCGAAGAAACCATGGAACCATCGGGCAGCGTTATTGTAGCCCTATACTCTACAGTAGAGTATTTTCCGTGAGATGCAAAGCAGAAACATTGGACGAATACATGATTGAAGCTGGAGTTCCACATATTCTGCGGATATCCGTACGAACTATATACTAACAACTTCCACGGTACCGAGCGATACTGCGATCCTGAGTCGCTCCAAATGCCCTATCCGAGCAACAAGCCAAATCGCTAATTATCATGCTGTAGTAGAGAGGTGACTATCTGACTGGCGTATCAGAATAAACGAACTAAAGTGTAACGTTCAGTCTTAATAGACAAACATGCCCCCTGAGTTCTTTTAACAGTACCCAGATCCACCAATCCAACGCAGTAAAGTACCTCGCCGTGCACCTCGACAGGCGATTAACCTGGCGTAGATACATCGAATGCAAGAAACTGCACTTAAAGCTATTAGCCAACGAAGTCCACTAGGTTATAAACGCTCGATCACCTCTGTGCCTAGTCTAAAAGATCCTGCTCATATGGCTTCCAGCTATGGGGGAGCGCAAGCAGCACCAACATTGTCATCATACAGCGCGCACAATCGAAGATCCTGAGGACTATCGCTGGGGCACCATGGTATATTCGCAACATCCTCGCAGTAAAAGACGAACCCAGCAATAGTGATCCGGGCTTTCAACTCTGTGCCGGTCAATATGACTGTTAGCTAAGTAATATTTTAAGATTTGATACACTTATTGTTAGTATCGTAAGGAGAATTTCAACAAATAAAAGCAAAATTATAATAAAAACGAGGAGGGGAGCTAACTTCGGCAAGCCGAGACTTTGCCGAAATTGCTAAAATTGAAAAAGTACCGAAAAAAATAAGCTATACATAAATAATTAGGTTTGTATAACGTCAAATAAAAATAAAAAAAAGGGATATTTTCGCCTCCTTTAACAATTTTTACTACGGAAGCTATAAGATATAGACGTCCGATCGCTTTTACACTGAACAAGGTAAATAAGACTTAAAAATATTTATGTCAATAGCTTACACATTGCGGGAAATATTCTGTAAGTCATCAAATTCGGACCGATTTCACCCTATGGTTCCTATGGGAGCTATAGGATATAGTCCGATCGTCACGCGCTTTTACCCTGATCAAGGTATGCATAAAACAAATACGATTTGGAAAGATTCATGTCAATAGCTTATATACTGTGCGAAATATCCTAAAAATCATTAAATTTTAACCGATTTCACCATATAGCTATAGGATATAGACGTCCGATCGGCACACGCTTTTACACTGATCAAGGTATGCATAAAAAAAAGGATTTGGAAAGATTTATGTCAATAGCTATTACACTGCGCAAAATATATTCCATTAATGCAAGTTATATCCGATTGTTCCTATGGGAGCTATAGGATATAGACGTCCGATCGGAGTTGTTTTCAAACTTGATCTGCGTACACATGTTTTAGGACGACTGTGAGTTTCAGATCGCTAGCTTTTAAACTGAGCTCGCAAACGGTATTGAAACAGACGGCCAGACGAACAAACGGACAGAAGGACATGGCTATATCGACTACCCTATTGACCCTGATCAGGAATATATATATTTTATGGGGTCGGAAACGTCTCCTTCACTGCGTTACAAACTTCTGACCAAAATAATAATACCCTCTGCAAGGGTATAACGAGGACGGAAGCTAACTTCGGCAAGCCGAAGTTTTAATACCCTTGCAGACATTGCCGAAATTGCTATAATTGAAAAAGTAGCGAATTAAATAAGGTATACATAAATAAACTAGATTTGCATAGTTTCATGCCAATAGCTTTTATACTGCAAAAATGTTATATAAAAATAGGAAAAAAGAAATTTTTCCTACGGAAGCTATAAAATATAGACGTCCGATCGGCAAGCGCTTTTACCCTGATCAAGATATGCTTAAATAAATACGATTTGGAAGGATTTATGTCAATAGTTTTTACACTGCGCGAAATATCATCAATTCTGGCTAGATATATCCGATTGTTCCTATTGGAGCTATAGGATATAAACTTGATCTGCGTATTAAAACAGACGGACAGACGGACATGGCTATATCGACTCCATTATTGATCCTGATCACTGCGTTACAAACTTTTGCAAGGGTATACAAAAAATTTACCAGTTTAATGCATAGAGTTATAACAATTCTGGTTCAAAACATAGTAAAATGTAGTTATTTTTAGCTATACCGTGGTGATAAAAAATAATTTGAATGGTTAATTTTTTTTGTGTTGGTCTATTTATTTATTTATTTATTTTAGTAGAAACCTGTAATTTTTTTTTTTTTTAGGTAAAAACTGAAGTACATCCGTCCAATATATCCTTAGCAAATGACTTTGTTGATGAAACATGTTTAAACGAAAATCCAGATGCTATACAAGAAAATGCAGGTGCAAATGAAGAAGTAATGCAAAACCAAAACCCTTTGGAGATAGAATCTTTACGCCACTATTTACTTTCTATTGTCTACATGCCGTTATCATTGAAGATGATTTGTATTACCAATCTTTTTTGCTGGATGGCGCATGTTTGTTATTCACTTTATTTTACGGATTTTGTGGGCGAAGCAGTATTTAAAGGAGACCCCAAGGCAACTCAAGGATCTGTGCCTCAACTTCGTTACGAAGAAGGTGTTCGATTTGGTTGTTGGGGCATGGCAATGTATTCTCTGTCATGTGCATTTTATTCACTTATTATAGAAAAACTTATTCAACATTTTAGGTAAGTGTTTCTTTTAATTAATTTAAATTTTTAACAGTTATTTGTAAATTCTGTCTTTTTATTTAAAGAGCTAAATCTGTGTACGTTGGAGGACTTCTTTTCTATTGTATCGGAATGGCCTTAATGGCATTAACTCGAGCAAAGCTAAGTGTTTTAGTTTTTAGTTGGACAGCGGGTATTATGTACTCTACGCTTTTCACTATGCCCTATCTACTGGTTGCTCACTATCATAATGTTTCAACCGTAAGTATTATAAATAAGACTGTCACATAACATTTACATTGTATTTATTTTTAACGAGGACGGAAGCTAACTTCGGCAAGACGAAGTTTTAATACCCTTGCAGATTTTGCCGAAATTGCTAAATCTGAATAGATATAGACGTCTGATCGGCAAGCGCTTTTACCCTAATCAAGATATGCGTCAATAAATAAGACTTGGGAAAATGTATGTCAGTAGCTTACACACGCGCGAAATATTCCGATAATCATCAAATTTGGACAGATTTCACCATATGGTTCCTACGGGAGCTATAGGATATAGACGTCCGATCGTCACGCGCTTTTACCCTGATCAAGGTATGCATAAAAAATACGATTTGGAAAGATTCATGACAATTGCTTATATACTGCGCAAAATATCCTAATAATCATTAAATTTTAACCACCCTATTGTTCCTATGGGAGCTATAAGATATAGACGTCCGAACGGCACGCGCTTTTACCCTTATCAAGGTACGCATAAAAAAATAAGATTTGGAAAGATTTATGTCAATAGCTTTTACACTGCGCGAAGTATCTTCCATTTTTGCAAGTTATATCCGATTGTTCCTATGGGAGCTATAGGATATAGACATCCGATCGGGGTTTTCGGTTTTTTTTTTCGGTTTTCAAACTTGATCTGCGTACACTTGTTTTAGGACGACTGTGAAAGTTTCAGATCGCTAGCTTTTAAACTGAGCTCGGAAACAGTATTGAAACAAACGGACATTTTTTTTAAATAGCGGCTGTAGTATGTACTTGTCTGGTTGGCAGCAACTTTTACAAGCAAGGTATACATAAATAAATTAGATAAAGTGCATAGTTTCATGTGAATAGCTTTTAAACTGCAAAATTGTCATATACAAATAGGAAAAAAAGGGATATTTTCGCAGCCTTTAACAATTTTTCTTACGGAAGCTATAAGATATAGACGTCCTATCGGCAAGCGCTTTTACCCTGATCAAGGTATGCGTAAATTAATAAAAAACGAGGACGGAAGCTAACTTCGGCAAGCCGAAGTTTTAATACCCTTGCAGACTTTGCCGAAATTGCTAAAGGTGAAAAAGTAGCGAAAGGAATAAGGTATACATAAGTAAAGTAGATTTGCATCGTTTCAAGTCAATTGCTTTTATACTGCAAAAATGTCATATACAAATAGAAAAAAAAGGGTATCTTTGGCAGCCTTTAACAATTTTTCCCATCTCCTTTAAGATATAGACTTCCGAGCGGCAAGCGCTTTTACCCTAATCAAGATATGCGTAAATAAATAAGAATTGGAAAAATTTGTGTTAGTAGCTTACACACTGCGCGAAATATTCTGATAATCATCAAATCTGGACCGATTTCACCCTATTGTTCCTATGGGAGCTATAGGATATAGACGTCCGATCGGCACGCGCTTTCACTTTGATTAATGTACACTCACTCGCATATCTCTGCGTACACCCCAAAAAAATTTCAAAATCTAACTTTAAACCCTAGCTGTTCGGCCATTTATGCATATATTCAACCCATTCTTTTTTTTAAACATAAGTATAATTTATTGTCTTCATTGACGTATTTTTTTTTTAAATTATTCAACAGTGTCTTATATTTTATTTTTAATTTTAAACTTAACACTACCAAAAAATGTACCCGCAAAAGTCTGCGTACACCTGTTTAAAACACAAATAATATTATTTTTAGTAACTGGTAGGGTATCCTTTTCTCTGCAAAACTTCCGTAAGGCGTCTCGGGATGGAATCCACTTTTTTTTTGTCTCATTTGCAGTAATTTTCCCCTACTCCTCGAGAATCACATTCTTAAGCATTTTTTTAGATGTTATCGTGTGTCTTCGGATTTTCCTCTCAAGAAGATCCCAAAAATGCTCATTTGGGCTTAGATCAGGTGTTCGCAGCTGATTTATGACGTTATACAGCAGCCAAAGCTTGGTATTCTGTGCCGTATGCTTCGTGTCATTGTCTTGTTGGAACCAACATTCACTTTCGAGCCCTAATTTTTCAGCACTTTCTTTTAAATTGTTTTTTAATATGTCAATATAGATTTTCTGATCCATTATTAACTCGATAAATACCAATTTTCCAACGCCACTTGCTGCCATACACCCCCACACCAGTATTCCGCTTCCGCCTTGCTTTACTGTGCCAACCAAATTTTCTTAATTTGAGGCTTCTCCGCTTCTCCTTCATACCAAAACCTTTCCCTTGATTCCAAATATGCAGAATTTAGTTTCGTCGGGAAATATAACCTTATTCCAGAAGGCGTACAGTATCTTCGGAAACTCTTTTGGAAAATCTATCCTCGACCTTCAGCTTTGCCTGGTGAGCTGTCGTCCTTGGGTTGAGCTGAATAGATTTGATAATATTCCTCTGCTCGCGGTTTATAAGCAAAGGCGGACGGCCAGAACGAGCCTTTGGCAAGATACTTCCAGCCGAGTTGTAGTTATTTATCACTCTTTGGATGGTTCTACCAACTAAAGCACCAATTTCTCTATAAGATTTTCCATCCAAAAAACCTTTTAATATAATTTTCCACTCCTCAACAGAAATTTCCTTGCCTTTTTGTTCCATGTTGCAATATGCTCGTTATCATAATGAAAGAGTTTCATTTTCACTGCGTAATGTCTATTTTTAGACATTCTAAAGTAGATCGGCAACAACAAAATTAAAGGAAATCGCACAATCCTGCATTCCTCGAAGTTGAAAACTGCTGTACGCAGACTTTTGCGCGTACACTTTTTCGTAGTGTTAGGTTTAAAATTAGAAATAAAATATAACCCCCTGTTGAATATTTATAATATTTCTACGTCAATGAAGACAATAAACCATAGTTTTGTTTAAAAAAAGAATGAATAAAATACATGCATAAATGGCCGAACAATTAATGTTCAAAGTTAGATTTTGAAATTTTTTTGGGGTGTACGCAGAGATATGCGAGTGAGTGTATGCATAAAAAAATACGATTTGGAAAGATTCATGTCAATAGCTTGTATACTGCGCGAAATATCCTAAAAATCATTAAATTTTAACCGATTTTACCCTTTTGTTCCTATGGGAGCTATAGGATATAGACGTCCGATCGTCACGCGCTTTTACCCTGATCAAGGTACGCATAAAAAATAAGATTTTGAAAGATTTATGTCAATAGCTTTTACACTGCGCGAAATATCTTCCATTCTTGCAAGCTATATCCGATTGTTCCTATAGGAGCTATAGGATATAAACTTGATCTGCGTATTAAAACAGACGGACAGACGGACATGGCTATATCGACTCCCCTATTGATCCTGATCAAGAATATATATACTTTATAGGGTCGGAAACGTCTCCTTCACTGCGTTACAAACTTCTGACCAAAATTATAATACCCTCTGCAAGGGTATAAAAAAAATGTATGTCAATAGCTTTTACACTGCGCGAAATATTCTAAAAAAACATGAAATTTTGACCGATTTCACCGTATTGTTCCTATGGGAGCTATAGGATATAAACGTCCGATCAGCACGCGCTTTTACCTTGATGAAGGAATGCATACAAAAATATGATTTATAGCAATAGCTTTAACACAGGGCGAAATATTCTGAAAAACATCAAATTTGGACCGATTTTACCCTATTGTTCCTATGGGAGCTATAGGATATAGCAATCGGCACGCGCTTTTACCTTGATGAAGGAATGCATAAAAAAATACGATTGAAAAAATGTATGGCAATAGCTTTTACACTGCGCGAAATAATCTAAAAAACAGCAAATTTGGACCGATTTTACCCTATTGTTCCTATGGGGGCTATAGGATATAGACGTCCGATCGGCACGCGCTTTTATCCTGATCAAGGTATGCATAAAAGAATACGATTTGGAAAGATTCATGTCAATAGCTTTTACACTGCGCGAAATATCATCAATTCTTGCAAGATATATCCGATTGTTCCTATGGGAGCTATAGGATATAGACGTCCGATCGGGGCGATTTTCAAACCTGATCTGCGTACACATGTTTTAGGACGAGTGTGAAAGTTTCAGATCGCTAGCTTTTAAACTGACTAAAATTATAATACCCTCTGCAAAGGTATAAAAATGATTGTGAAACATAAAAATATAAAGAACAAAATATATAAATATTAAAGTTAAAAGAAAATTTGATATTATTTGAAAAAGATTTTTTTTTAAATCAGAATAGATTTGCAATATATTTTGTTTGCTTTTTTTTGTTTGTTTAATATACCACTATAGATGTTTAATAAAAGACAATTTTTAGTCTATCCTTATGTACTGTTTGCTTCTTATATTTATTGTTTGACATTATATTATTATCTCTTTATGTTATTGTATAGGGACCAGTATATTTAAAACCAAACTTGTGTCCTATTTAATTTTTTAATAAAACTTGCTCTCCAATTTTTAGTTCAAAGTTTAAGCTATTTTTGTCAATCTGTTTTATCAACTGAGATGTACGAGCGTATGAACTCATTAAGTGTTCTGTGGCCTCGGTTCACGGATCCTACAGTCTGGTGATGGTGTGCAGTTATGTTCTAAATATTTAAATTCTTGCATATATCTTCAATCGTTGAATTTTGATATTACATTATTTACATAATAGGCAAAAGCTTGTTAGTGTGTTTCTGATATAGTTAACGGAGTCTTGGTATGTTTTGTTGTTTTCGGTTTTTGGCATTTTTGACACTTTTTTATGTAGTTGAAATATGTCCTGTCATATTTTTCTAGTAATAATGCCTTTTTATTTTTATACCCTTGCAGAGGGTATTATAATTTTGGTCAAACGCAGTGAAGGAGACATCTCCGACCCTATAAAGTATATATATTCTTGATCAGGATCACCTCCTGTCTGTTTCTACGCGAACTAGTCTCTCAGTTTTAAAGATATCGAGTTCAAACTTTGCACACACCCTTCTTTCCTTTGCACGCAGTATATAAGTCGGAAAGGCCGGGATCGGCCGATTATATCCTATAGCTGCCATATAACTGATTGATCGGAAATGCCATAACTTTGGTGTTTGTAAAGTTAGGAAGTTGGGATTTTTTATGAGTATAAAAAATGCATCATATGAATAATTTTGGAGAATATAATT